CAACTCGGAAGCGAATCATGCCGCCCCGCAGCAATGCCTGCGTCGGCCCTGGGGTTGCGTGCCAAAACCGGGTCGACGTAAGGCCGCAGCGGCGCCGCCGCCGCTCTCGGGGCTGAAGCAGATGACCCCCCTCCGAGCATAGCCCGTCTCCATCCCAACAAACATTCGCGTTCGGCCTGGCCAGCGAGCCCCATGGCATTCGCGGCGGCCGTCGACAAGTCAGGCCAGGAGACTAGGTCCTCGCTGTAGGGCTTGACGCGCTGGGAGTCGACCGACTACCCGGGCGCCGGAGCGACCCGCTCTTCAAGGGCTGCTTCGCCAGAACGATGATCCCCGTGATACTCAGGAGGAAGAGGAAACTGCTGGGACGATCGCACTGTCGCATGACGCGATCCATCGCGCTGCTCTGCGCCGCGGACGCCGTCGACCCAGAGGATAGCGGAGGCGGCGAAGGGTGGACGCTCAGCTGGTTCAAGGCTGCGACCCATCGCATCCAAGCGGCACCCCGCAGCGCCCTCTGTCGCCCGCGGCAAGCGTCCGCCCGCGCGTCCACCGCCGAGGCAGGCAAGGGGAAGATGTCGCGCTGGCGAACTCCAGACATGATGACAGAATTGGTGGAAGCAGCCGCAGCCACGACAATTCTGGGAATCGCCCAGGCGGCACCGAAGAGCCTGCACCCGCCTGGGAGAAGCTTCCGAAGGACTATGCGCGCGCCGCCCGCTCTCCGCGGGCGTTGCGCCGCTCCTCGGCAGTAGCGGCCTCTGATTTCAGCTGCTCCGCGGCGAACTCCGTCAAGGCCGGGGGGCTGCGCGAGTTCCCCTTGCTCGACGACGCCTCCGTGTAGTGATCGGCCACCGCCACCAGCAGCGCATCGCTAGCAGCAGCCGCCTTCTTCTTGTCCTTCTTCTCTTCGGTGGTCACCTGCGCCGCTGTGGACTCCTCGTGGCGCCTCCTTTCGATGAGCTGAGTTCGGCGGCTCACCAGCTCGACGGCGGCAACCTCCGACGTGTTGAGCTGATCGTAGCCGCGTGCCATCTCCAGTAGGCGGCAATTAATCCCGTGTGGCTGGCTGATCGCATCCGAATCTCTGAACCGAGCCTCTGCCTTCCACTTCGAGGTCCAATCCCAATGGCCGCCAGCATCCCTGCGCATGTGATCCAGGCACGATTGTGCAGAACGCGAGCCTTTGATCGGCCCGTCGTCCATGGGCGTAGTGGTGGCCTCCCGCGCGGCGTCGGCGAAGTCCAGCTGACGCCGCCCAATGCCGTCGGTCTCGATCGCGCGCACCCGCTTGTCCACCGCGGCAGGCAGGGCACCAGCAGGCAGTACACCTCCAGCGACGGCAAGAGCTCCCTCTCCGCCGAGAGCTGCCGCCGCAGGGCCCGCAACAGCCGGCGGCGGCACGCCCGCAGCGGCAGCCACGGCGCCCGCGCCCGCGGGCACGGCGCCTGCCGCAGCCGCCACCGCGCAAGCCCCAGCAGCGCCCCCGCCTCCCGCGGCGGCTCCGCCTGCTGGCATAACCGCAGCGGCAGCGGTGGGGCTGTCCAGCCGCACGGCCAGCGGCACCCAGGAGGCCCCCGCCCCGTGTCCGCCCGCCAAGACGGACGGGGACGGCAGCACAGCAGCGCCCAGCAGCAGCGCCGCGGTGCGGACGAGACCCCACATGGCAGCAGCGGGCGGCATCGCCGGCAACCTGTCGATGCTGGCCTCCGCAACCCCGCACAGACGAGCCCCGCGCCCAAGCATGAACCTTGTCCCCTCGCCGTCGGCATCGGCAGTCACCGTCTCCACATTGGCACCACCATCCACCGTCAGGATCACGCCCTCGGGCGGAGGCACGTCGATGGACGTCACCCGCTCGTGGTGCACCATGGGCCCACCGACTCGATATCGAATAGCGCGCACCTCACCTGGCAGCGGCATTCTGAAAGGCGGCCCTCGCCTGCAAGGGGGCACTCACGCGACTCTCCTCCGCGGAGCACGGGGGCTCAGCCGATGCAGTCCGAGGCGACCTATCGCGACGTCGACACCACACACTCCGAGAAAAAGACCTCACAATTCACAAACCAGGCACCACTGTGGCATCCGAGAGCAAGCCGAAGAGGAACACCGCTGAGTGACTGCACCAACATCTGATCAAGAACAGGGAACTCGCACCGTCCACGCTCGGGAACATTATGTTGTAGGTCGGAGAGCACCCACACGCGCACGGAGGGCAAGCGGGCGGCGCAGCCGAGGTCGTCGACCACCGTATCACGGCCTGCAAAGCTCCACGCGAGAGATCGGAACAAACATCGCGAGACGGCAACGTGCAAGACCCTCAAAAGCTTGAGCGGTTGCGGTTGTGCGGCCACTCGTCCCCATCCCGCGCACATTCCACACTAAAGTTGTTGCTATGATGATGATGATGATGATGATGATGATGATGATGATGATGATGATGGTGATGATGATGATGATGCTGATGATGATGATGATGATGATGACGATGACGATGATG